TTCCGCCGCGCATCTCAGCGGCGGTATTCAGTGGATGTCAAGGCGTTCGAGAGCAGCGCACGGATAAGTGGGGATAATCACGTGGTCCGTGCACGGATGACATCCCTCCAACATCGGGCTGTATCAGCTCAGATTTATCGTCTACCAGCTGTCCCCAGGTCGACTGTCATGCGGCTCTCCGGCCACTCGCCGTCTCTTAGTCGCCTCGTCGTTGACGAACCATCCCAGCCTCTTCTGCGACGCCACCGAGGCGAACCCATCGCGTGCCTGTACCCCTTCGCACTCAAACTTCCGAACCGCTTCCCGATCCTGACTGAGGACCAGGGGGAGTTGCTGCCCCGAGGGTCCAGCTTGGGCGGTCGATGAGGCGTCATACTTTCGGAAAGGTCTCTGCTCTCTGTCCAGCAGCAGCACGAGGTCCTCTTTCCCCGCCCTACCCAACGACTCATGGCCCAGAAGTGAGGCCTGATGGTCCTTGGAGATGAAATGAGGGAGCCGCGCCACCATCTCCGCCTTCATCGATCCATCCTCGCGGAGCTGCGTTAGCATCACACCGCTCTTCCCACGGGTGTTTTCCAGACGAGATGCTACTCGCATCCCCGACCCGTCCACGAAGCTCACCAGCTGTCCTGACGCATGTACCGACGGTTCCGTGGGCCGGAAGGGCAGCTGCATCTCTCCTCCGTCGTCTGACCGAACCGCAACCTCGGATTCTGGCTGGCTTTCCTCATCTCGAGCCTCTATGCGTGACTGCTGCAACTGAAACTCGCCACTAAAAACGCCCTCCACCTTCTTTCCCGTCTCGACACTGAAGCCGCAAAAGAGAGCGCCGTCACAGTCGAATGCCAACTTCTCGGGGTTTTCATCTATGCAATGGATGTTGTCGCGGTCTATAGCTGTCAGTCTCCTTTCCCGCGTCCCGGTCTCCTCCGAGTCACGTACCTGTTCCTTTGAAGTTCCAAAGCGCGGTCATCGCAGATCCATTAGTATCCCAGAGCACCTCGGGTACTTCACAACTCCGCTTCCCCTGGACGATGTTTCCGCTGTGCTTGATAGCTACGACGGAGAGATGGGTGTGCAGCAAGGCGCACGAGTCTCCGTCAACATCTCCGTCGTAAGCAGGCTTGAAAGCTAGAGATGCGATGTGGGAGTAGGCAGTCCTCGATCCCCCCGGTTGCTTGTCGGCATTCGTGTCCTCGTAGAGTGTGACGAGTCTCATGTGGCTGCCGTGCATCGCCGTAATTTCGACGATGCCATTGAACTTGTGGGTCGTCATGAGGTAGCGGCCGTCGTCCGATATCTGAAGGTCGTATTCGAGGTGAAGATCCTCAATGCCGAGCTTGAACGGTCCGTTTCGCCAGGCGTTGCCGGTGAAGTCAATGAACTGCGTTGCCTCGTCGATATCAAGGGCCGGCTGAGAACCCGGTGACGATACGCCGGGGGCCTTGACGACGCACCCGGGCATGGCAATCCGTTTCAGGTCAGCAGCAATAGCCACGGGGAGCTGAAAGGAATCAAGCCGGCTCCGCCAGCCATACTTTCCCGACCTGGCGTCCCAGCCGAGGAAAGGCTTGATGCAGCTTCGCGTAAGACCGAGATTGACAGACCTCAACAACTCGTTGGGCTTGATGGACCATGTCTCCAGGAAAAGCGACGGCACCACGTCCTCGCTTGGGGGTATGCTGATGCGTATCAGTCCCAATCGATCACCGGCTTGGGAGACTCGCGTCTTCAGGCTGATTGCCAGGTGTCCTGGCTCCGGATCGGTCTCAAAGGTCGCGAGTATCCTGGATCCAGATATGCGCTGCCAAAATGGAGATTGATTGAAAGCAGCAATGCTGGGGTGCCAGATTTCGTTTGGCTCCCCTTTGAGCACGTAACCCCAAGTCGTATTGAGGCTCGCAAGATCCTCAGCAAGTTGACGAAGAGTTTGTATCGCCGTGTCCCACGTGCTTGCGAGCGACGAACCGAGCCCAGGCGGCGGCGAAGCCCCGGTCTCGAGGAGACTGTCGTCTGCAATCTCTGGCGGTCTTCCGAAAACCCAGGACGACTCGATCCATACCATGACAGCCTTCTTAGCTGTCAGAAACGAGCTGGCTAGCTTGATCATCGTCAGGATCGATTGCTCGGCTGCGGAAGAGAAGGCACTGGACTTGATGCACTTCATCACATGATGGCTCCAAAACTCGGATGCATAGCTCAGAAGGGGGTAGTCACGAACGACCTGCTCCCGGTTGGGGCCAACGCTCGGCAATCCGGACAGTGGTTCGTTTTTGACGGTGAAGACGTAGTATGACAGGCAACGGGCCGCCATTGATGCGTTTCCTCTGCATCTATCGACGAACACGTCGGTCGTCAAGTCGTTTGCTCCCTGCAGTTTGCCTCCGTTGTCGTCCAGATATTCCAGAACGGACAAGTGAGCGAATTTGACAAATCCCTGGCCATCTAGCTCCAGCAAAGCGCCAGAGTAATAGGCCATGTTGACGGCAAAGTTCGGAACAGCGTCCTCTGAATGGAACTTGCGGTCGACGGGGGTCGTGATGATTTGGTGTAGTTCTGTAATGTGAAGAGGCCTGGCGGAGCATAGAACGAACTCGAATATCTGAATGGTATTTGACCAAGCCTCCTGTCCTTGGTGGCTCAGTGACTGTAGTATGGCCTGGTAAAGCATGTCCAGCCCCTCGAGTCGATTGAGGTTCTGGAGAGCATCAAGACGCTTACGGACCGACAGATGGCGAGACTGGAGATATTCGACGAAGAGATGCGCCCAGATGAACATTCCATTCGCCCGTCTCGCGATTTGTCTGACGAGATTCCCAGTTTCCTCAAGGGTCATGATTGGGAGCCCTGACCACTCGAGATTCATAATTCTAGGCCGCAGAAAAGCTTCGATGTCTTCGAGATTCAGTGCCTCATGCAGCTCCAGGGTGTCTGTGTAGGCAGCCAGGTTGGACAGCAACGTTACGGTAGGGCGACTGAAGAGGGCGACGCGTGTTTTCGCGGGTCCGTCGAATAGTATGGAGAGGCGGTTGAAAAACTGCATTTGGTCTTCACACTCGTCCACGCCATCAACGACAAGTGTCAGTTGATCAAGACGGTGGACGAGCAGTCGAAGCACGGCAAAGACCTCGTTGGCAGATGCCACGGCCTGTCCCGTCGGATGGCTTTCGCGATACATGAGGAAGGTGTCGACAACGTCCTCATCGAACTTGGTCATCTGCTGCCAGAGCTGTGCTAGGACCGCTCGCCAGACTGCGCTGCTGTTGATACTGTCCGCGCGCTGCTTGTCGAAGTAGAAGAAGACGACTGCCTGACGCCGGTCCTGGTCTACTTCGCGGGTGTTTCGACGCTGCAAACTCTCGATCAGTGTCGTGCACAGTGTTGTTTTGCCAAAGCCTGGCTTCCCTGAGTATCGTTGAGTCAGTGAGTGCGAAAGGGTCCCTAGAAGGTGCTGTACCTCTTGCCCACAAGATTCGGGGCGACGTGTTCCCGTCTGGCAACAACCACCCTGTCACGGTGTCATGGTCTGGAAACCACTCGTTGCTATCCGCCTCTCTCTGTTGTTGAGCATGCTCGAAAAGACCGAGCCAAGCTGGCGCATCGAGCCAAGCAGTCAACCTGTCATAGATGTACTCTGATGTACGATGTTAGCGTCTCACCTAGTGAAAGATGGGAAGCTCCCTTCAGGAATAGCATACCGCTTCGCCTCCATTTTCTTTGCTGCTCGTCTTCGAACAGGCCCACCTCGGAGAACTTGTTCAGTATAAGGTTGATCTTTTCCACGCATTCCATCTGATCGACACCCATGAGGAGTTGCATCTCCAACTGGACGAGCTGCTCATGCTGATCCCAGCGCTTCATGAGTGTGTCGTAGCGCACGGAGAAAGGATTAAAGGCCGTCTTATATAATGAGCGCATGAACGAGCCCCTGAGAGAGAGCGTACCTATGGCCCGCCACTTCTTATCAGCAATTTGACGTCGGCAACGGGAGAGAAATAGAACTGACGGGATCGTTTGTGGGAGAATAACTGGCAAATGTCGTACGAGAACTGAAGTACGTCGGCGTAGATGAACGACATGGCCTGGAGCAGCCTCTCCGGCAGTGGCTGGGACTGTTTGATCCCATTCCACCGTTGAACGAATTCCTCATACACTGGCAGCTTGAGGCTCATTTTCTCGAACATGTCGCACACTCCCTCGAGGAACTGCACATGATTGGTACCCATCTGAAGAGGGTTATCAGAAGGGAGCATTACCCAGGACGGAAGCGAAGTAAACTCACGACAAAGACGAGACGAATAGCGCCCCACGCAATGGCCGCAAACTCGGGGTGTGAGGAGACGAACAGGTTCACGACTTCGAAAAAGGGCCCGAGCATGGTCGCCAGAGCAGACACGCCTCGAAGGCAACGCGCCATGACGGACCCATGGACCGGGTGTTTCTTGACCTGGTCCTGGATCGCGGATATCAGGGACTGGGAGTCGCGGAACTCGCGAAACAGCTCGAGCTGAGAGGGTGACAGGGACTTGCGGAACTCGGCAGACGCGGCCTGAAATATGGCAAGAGGCCCTTGGGCCTCATTGACAGCTCCCTCTGGCGGTGGTCCTCGATGAGCTTCTCTCTTGTCGTTGCTCCTGGCCATCGAAGTATTCGACGCGGAATGAAAACGAGGGAACGCCATACCGGATGTGTTTTCCGTCGCTTGTCATGATGCAACTGTCATCACGGACGAGTATTGTGAAGGGTAGTCGGGTCGCAAGCTGAACCTGAAGACCTGCATGAGGCGAAGCACCCATGCAGGCGGCCTCTGAGCCTTACAGAAGCCACATCACGTGGTTTGTATCTTACATTGCCTGTTTTCAGGCGGACAGGCCAATTCGATTGCCTCTTGATGGTTGACAGGAATTGGCAGTGGCATTCTGTGTAGGAACAATGGTGCAAAAAGGCAAAAAAGAGTCTTGAGTACCCAGCTGAGCTGGGCGCGTCTTGATTAATATCCGCGACGAGGGCAGGATTTGAACCTACGCGGGCGAACCCAACAGATGGCGTTAGAAGTAACTGCGGACAGTCTGTTCTAGTCTGTCGCCTTAACCACTCGGCCACCTCGCCTTGTTGCTGATTGGAGGGAAATGTAGAATTATGCCTTGTGAGTTGAGAGCGGAAAAGTCTCTACCCCTCCATCCCGTGCTTGAAGCAAGGACCAGCAAGCAAGAGCTGGTGCCACTCCTGTTTATTAACCATTCATTGCCCCGCCAGCAACCTGACATCCCAGATTATTATTTCGAGCAGTTGCTGCGGGCATCCGTGCGAACCCCACAGCATCCCATCCTCTCTTTGAGGCTGCGCATCGGCTTCCACTCCTGCCAACAATCCAAACTCGACGTCCCGCAACCACAGCCAACGTTGACGGCGACACTGCATTTGATACCCTCCTCCGTTCGACATTCACCGAAAAGGCACCTCCGTTGCCCCCTCATCCTTTCCAACACCCCGAGCCAGCCCCGCCTCTGTCCTCGCGACGTCATATTCCTCACCTTTGAACGCCTCCTGGTCGGACACGTCTGCCTCCGGCACACCCTCTCGTTCCTTCCGGCCCGCTCTGTCGACGAGTATCCATCGCCTCGACAGACAATATGGCTTCAAACGGTGCGCAGGCGGCATACACGGCCGAGAACGTGCTCGCGGCCGTGGTGGCCATGCGCGGCACAGAGCGCGAGGCCAAGAAGCAAGCCCATGAATACCTGGAGCGATTCCAGAAATCGGTATGATGGATGCTCCAAGAGGGGAGAGGAAGGCAACAAGTGGAGACTGATTGCTAACGCGTGACGCTCTAGAAAGAAGCCTGGTCTCTCGTCATCAGCATCCTGCAATCCGACGCCGACGCCGAGGCAAAGATCTTCGCGGCGACTACACTGCGCGGAAAGGTTGGACCCCGACCAGGTTACTTGGAGGGAAGCAATGTGCTGACGGACGACAGCTCACTTATGATCTCGGCACGGACATATCGGAGGGGGAGTTGGCTGCGCTCAGGGAGCAGATCCTCCTGCTTCTGAAGCACTACACTGCGGGACCCAGGCCGATCCGTGTACAGCTTTGCGTCTGCCTGGCCGTCTTCGCCATCCACATGCAGACGTGGAAGAACGTCCTCTCTGATGTCGTCGAGGCCCTGGAGGGCCCCGGAAGCCACGTCGTCATCCTCGACTTCCTCCGCATCCTCCCCGAGGAAGTCACCGAAGGCCGCAAAATCACCCTATCAGTACGTGGACCGGCAAAATACCCATTTCGGCTCTCCCGCCATGCGCCTCGACCGAGCCGCGTCAGGTCATCGTCAGGAATCCCCGTTCTAATTCGCCATGGCAGGAAGAAGAGTTGTCGCAGAGGACCATGGAGCTCCTGAGCGAAAACGCAGACAAGGTGGTGCAGCTGCTCGTCAACTACGCGCAATCCGCCGGTGCGCACGCCTCGCCCAAACTACCCGGTGCCGACAGAGTGCTGACGAGACCCAGAGAAACCCTCGGACGACCCTTTGCTGATGGACTGCGTCGCATCCTGGCTGAGAGAGGTGCCCGTGAGCATCATCGTGCAGTCGCCGCTCTGTGATGTCGTCTTCCGCGGTGTCCTGAGCGACGATGCATCCAAGGAGGCCACTGAGGCCATCTGCACTATTCTCCGCGAGACGAGGGATGTGGACGAGAGCGCCGAGACCATCAAGCTTCTGCTGGACCGCGTTCTTCAGCTGAGGCCCCGGATTCAGACAGCGGTCAGGGAGGAGGACACAGACACCTTCGAGGCCCTCACCAAGATTTTCGCAACCGCTGCGGAGGCTTGGGTCGTGGCGATTGCCCGCGAGCCCGCACACTTCCGGCCGCTCGTCGAGGCCGTCCTCGAGTGCGCACATCTCGACCAGAACCGCGAGGTCATCGAGCACACCTTCGATTTCTGGAACCAGCTCAAGCAGTACTTGGTGCTGGATATTTACATCGAGGCGAGACTCCAAATGGTCGACGTGTACTCCAAGCTGGTGGATATCCTTTTCAACCACCTGCAGTACCCCAACAGCAACGAGCAGGATCTCTTCGATGGTGACCGCGAGGCCGAGGAGCGGTTCCGTGAGTTCCGCCATAGGATGGGCGATACTCTCAAGGACTCTTGCGAGGTCATGGGTGTTACCGAGTGCTTGAGCAAGGTGCTCGCGGCCATCAAGACGTGGTCGAGCGAGAGGAGCTCGACTACTTCGGCCCCGGGCGTCGTGCCGCACTGGCAGGAGCTGGAGGCGCCCCTTTTCGCAATGCGCGCTATGGGCCAGATGGTGCCCAAGGACGAGAATATCGTTCTGCCGCAGCTGATCCCCCTCCTGGTCGAGATCCCTCCTCACGAGAAGCTCCGCTTCGCCACCATTATGGTTCTCGGCCGTTACACCGAGTGGACGGCACAGCACCCCGAGTACCTGGAACCCCAGTTCACCTACATCGTCACGTCGTTCCAGACGGACTCGAAGGAGGTGGTCCGCGCCGCCGCCATGGCCATCAAGTACTTCTGCACTGACTGCAGGGACCTACTCAGCGGCCAGGTTGTCCAGCTGCAGTCCTTCTACGACCAGATCCTCGACAAGCTGCCGGACATCAGCCAGGAAGAGATTACCGAGGGCGTCGCCAACGTCGTGTCAGCCCAGCCCGAGGCGGAGCTCTACAAGCTGCTGAAGCTTTACTGCGACCCTCTTGTCCAGAGGTTGATGACCAAGGCTAACCTTGCCACCGACGAGGACAGCAAGGTCGCTGTGGCAGGTGAGAACTGACCCTGACGAACACCACGTACAACAACATGTTACTGATTCTTCGCCTGCAGACCACATCCAGCTCATCACCATCTTCGTGCAGATCGTGCGGCCCTACACACCAGGCGCCGCCGAGAACCCGGCCGTCAAGTACTGGCAGGAGGTGTTCCCCGTCTTGGCGACGATTGTGGAGAACTTTGTGAGCTTTGTGCCCATCTGCGAGCGCGTTTGCCGCTGCTGGCGTCACATGGTCATCTCGTACCGCACGGCTATGACCCCTCTGCTGCCTGAGATGGCCAACAAGCTGGCCAGCGGCTTCAACCAGTCACGCCAGGGTGCCTTCCTCTGGGTGACATCTGCCATCCTGCGGGAGTTCTCCGAGGACCGTGAGCAGGTCGACCAGTCGATCACCCAGAGCATCTACGTGTTCTTTGAGGCCCAGGCCACAACCTTCCTCCAGGTCCTGAGCGACATCAAGCCGAGCGAGCTTCCGGATGTCATCGAGGACTTCTACAGGCTGCTCATTGACGCACTTCTCTACTACCCCCACAGGCTCATTCCCTCGGAGCTACTGGTGCCCATCTTTGAGGCTGCCATCTACGCCCTCACCCTGGAGCAGCATAACCCCCTCTCGGCGACGCTGCACTTCCTGCGGGACATCCTGTCCTATGGTGGTGACAACCCGGCCAACTCGGACGCCATGGCGCCAGAGGTGGCCGCGCAGATCAAGGCGACTGTCATGTCGCTGCTCCAGAACCACGGCGAGAAGCTGGTCAAGCAGATCATGGCGGGCATGATGATCACGTTCCCTCGTGATTGCTTCCCTGACGGAAGCGCCGTGCTGCTGGCCATGTTTGAGCTCCTGCCGGCCCAGACCACGACATGGGTGGAGAAGACGCTGCACATGCTGCCCCAGGGCACCATCACGCCAGCTGAGGCTGACAAGCTCATCACCAAGATCAAGGAGCGCATCAGCGGCGACCCCACCAGCACTCGCCAAGTCCGGGTGCTGCTCCAGGACTTCACAAACACCTACCGCCGCCGTTACGTCGCGCCACGAGACGGCCTCGGCCAGCTGGAAGCTGACCGCTTCCACTTCAAGCGTTGAATCCTCTTGGTGACGGGATCAGCTAATACATAAGGACAGTGAACAGGGCGAATGGAGTTGGAGCGATCGACGGGTTGGGGTGGTCAGGGAATGCGCTCATCGATGGAAGGCAAGAGCGACCTTGAAAATAGGGGGAGACGTAGATGAATTAGAGGCAAGGAGTTGGACCAAGCAGCATATTGACATGGCGGGACATTTGATTTTGCGACTGGACCGATGGAATTTGGGGCCAGCATGGAACTGAGGCAGTCGGTAGTAAGGGAGCCCAAACACCCCCTCGACTTGGGTGATGGGTGACATTGAGGATGGGCCAGCTGCTGTCTGGTCTGATGGATTCCATCAGGGTGTGGGCGGAGGAGAGGGGCAACATATCGTACCCCTCAGTGGAACCTTCAGCACGAGCGATATTGTGTGCAGATTCTGCCGGAGACCTCATCAAACAGGCGAGGTGGCCGAGTGGTTAAGGCGACAGACTAGAAGTACTGTTCCTGTGACTGCTTCAGCCATCTGTTGGGTTCGCCCGCGTAGGTTCAAATCCTGCCCTCGTCGCGGATAATATCAAGACGCGCTCAGCACAGCTGAGTTTCATTTTTGGTGTTTTGTCGCTCTGCTGTGGACGAGGTGATATTGTAGTCAACACGGTTATCTGTGAACAACGCGGACGAAGCACGCCGCTTAGGGTTCAGCAATTAACGCTTCATCAAGGTTATTGAGAAAATAATGGACAATCATATGGATTGGTGGCCGACTTGGGCGTCAAGATGGCTGGCCATGCTCAAGTTCCAGAATCCACAGTGATCTGGCCCGTCACATGACTTCGCGGCAGGCGACATGTCGATTGGCGGCGAAGGACCCTTGCAAACGCGCCGACGCCCAACGGCTTTGACCCGACTTTTTGGATGCCATCCCTCCCACAACTCGGACGCCGCCTCGGACTGGCAGAACAAAGCAGGGCTTGCACATGGCCGATCCGTCGAAGGCTGCCCCCCAATTGAATTTCAAGGCGTTCCGGCCTGCAGAGTGCTGTCTCCCCGGACGGGCTCAAGGGCGATCGGCACGCCAGAGACACCATCATCCCACGACGCGACCGCACCGACTTGGGAGTGCGCTCCGGCTCTGACTGGCCCAGCTGCCCCCCAGGCATCGGCTCCCACACCGCCTGGGCACATAATAACACCCCGATCTCCTCGTACACCTGCACTTCTCGTCGACCTCCAGTGGCATCCTGCCGTGTCATCAAAACAAGAGACAGACAGGTATCAGCACCTGTCCATCGACGCGTCTTCCTCTGCCCGATTGAAACACACGAGAGACCCGACTACCCAAAGCACCCTCGTCTTCCGCCACCACTGCCTGGATGCCGCAAACGACCCTAGCATCGTCGAGACTGGGCTCCCTGAAGGCACGAATCCGAAGACTCAGCAACGATACCACATCACCACCCTCGCATCGACAGGGCCACGCCGGCCACCAACACAACGGCTCAGCAGCCTCCGTCGGCACCATGCCGCCCAGTTCGCTGGCACAGTTCGCGCGTGGTTTATCAGACCCGCAGAACCAGATGTCCATTGCAAACGCCGACGCCCGCAGAGTCCAGCCAGGCCAGGCCTTCCACCACAACGGAATGTCCACATCGCACTACCCCCCCTCGTCGAACCCGAACCCGAACCCGCGCCAGTTCACCACGGCAGAGGCCACCAGGCTACCTTTGGCCAAGTCGACCATGCCTCAGCGCTCGCAAGTCCACCGCCCGCGCGCAGATAGCAACTCGAGCATGCCGCCGCTGGGTGAGCCTCCCGCCCATGCGCTACCCCTCCCGCCGGGTGCGCCGCCCCGTCCTCGTGCCAACTCGGAGGACCGAGGCATACTGAATGCCCCGTCCCTGCCCTCGAACCTGGGTACGCCCTATAATTCACCCCCAAGGGCCAACGGACGTGCCAATATCCACCACAATCCTGGCCGCTTTGATGATATGCGGTCGCCGCCACGCAACCTCGTCAACGCCCAACGAGCATCCAACGACATGCAGCCCTTGATGCTCGCCTCAAACGGCTCTGCCAACATGGCGGGCTCCCAGTCTGGACCCGGTATCAACAGGCACCACAGCACACGGAGCCAGTATCCAGACGTGGCGGCACAACAAGGCCCGAGTCAGGGCTACGTGGCTCAGCTGGGTTTCAATCAATCACCAGCAAAGCAGGAGATAAACCTGCCCATCCACAACGCCAATATCCGGCGATCCTACGTGGGACACCCGCCGACCAACGGCTTGGCCATCGACGGTCGGGCTTCCTCCCCCACAGTCGACAGGAGGCTGGTTTACACGCGGCCCATAGTCCAAGACAGGAGTCGAGAGCCCACAATGTTCCAGGAAGATGAGGACTTTGACGAGCACGATGACTTGAACAGCAACTACCCATTCGACGACGTCAACGGTACCCCTCGAGCTAGTGCCAAGAGGGTCGACAGAAGTAACAACGGATTTCAAGAAAGCCCCACGCGCCAAGCCCCCTCCCGCAATATTGTCAAGCCCAAGACCGAGGAGAGCCCGAGCAAGAAGCGCCGCCGGACCAGTGTCGACTACGACGACATCGCCCTCCAGCGCATGAGCTACGTCGACCTCCAGAGGCAGCCCTTCGATATGGACCCCACGCAGGCTACCATTGACCAACGCGTCGCGTCGTCCGCAAACGAGCCCCTCGAGGACAAACTCAGCCGCTGCAGGGACAAGGGCGACAGGGAACAGAAACAGCTCTTCAACCAGATGAGCCTCGCCGACTGGGAGCGCTCGGGGGACTGGTTCTTGGAGCAATTCAGCTCTATTACCCAGCGGCTCAAGGACGCACGCCAGAACAAGCGCGCCATGGTCGACAGGTTCGAGGCTGAGGTTGCCGCCCGCGAGGAGGCGGTCCGCGCCCGGACCGAGACCATCAATAAGAAGCTCGACAAGATTAAGCACAAGGGCGAGGACATGCTGGCGGACCGCGAGGGTTGAGAGGGAAGATGGCATTGCTTTCTTCGTGTACTTGGGGGTTTCTATTGTTTGCGTCGGCGACTGGGGCTTACATGAACTGACGACCTTATGATTATCACGAACTGCATACATTCGAAGGAGGCCTACGGCAGGAGGGCACAGCATCTGCCGGGTGGGGGATATGGAGCATTATCATGGCGAGGCAAGCTACTTGAGGCGAGGAGAACACATGGCCTGTAATTCTAGGAAGCTGTACCTTAATTAGATGCTATTTGCTCATCAGCCTCGATGTTGAGACTCAAGACAGCCCACGCGCTTCATCATATCCGGCGGCTCCGCTTGCCTGCCGCTTTGAAATCACGCGATGGACTGTACCATGTGAAAATAGAAACAGCGAGAGTCCTAAGGCCTACGCATCTCCACCTCGTCTCGGTACCTGCTCAATTTGCCTCGACTTGCCCTTCTGCCTGCCGATGGATGTCTGTTTGCTTGTAGCATCGTCTCAAGGCGGCATGGATGGTGGGGCTCTGGTTGCTTACTAAAACCGCTCTGCCTGCCTTACCAATGGAGACCGACGTCACGCCGCGCGGGGTGATAAACCACGACTACTTCCGCTCCTGGTCCCCTCGCCATCACATCTCCCCACCAACACCACCAACCAAAAGCTTTCACGCCCCAACTGCTCGATTCTTTCCTCGCCCGCGACCAGCCTCTTCTCTGTTCAGGCTGTTCTCCCTTCTTGCGCGCGCGTTTTCCCATCATCTCTTCGGCGGGGCCTTGACGGTCCCAGGCATCCAGCCGTCACCATGACCACAAACACCATCGACGAGTCGCTCTACAGCCGCCAGCTCTATGTGCTGGGACACGAGGCTATGAAGCGCATGAGCGCATCAAACGTCCTCGTTGTCGGCCTCCGGGGCCTCGGTGTCGAGATCGCCAAGAACATCGCCCTCGCAGGCGTAAAGAGCCTCACCCTCTACGACCCGGGCCTTGTCGCCCTCTCCGACCTCTCCTCCCAATTCTTCCTCCGCCCCGAGGATGTCGGAAAGCCTAGAGACGAGGTCACTACCCCTCGCGTCGGCGAGCTCAACTCCTACACCCCCGTCAACACCCATCAGTCCTCCAGCCTTGTCGACGACCTGTCCCAGTTCGACCGATACCAGGTCGTCGTCCTGACCGGCCTCCCTCTCAAGCACCAGCAGCTCATTGCCGACTACTGCCACTCCAAGAACATCTTCGTCGTCGTTGCCGATACCTTCGGTCTGTTCGGCTCCATCTTCTGCGACTTTGGCGACAAGTTCAGCGTCATCGACCCCACCGGCGAGACCCCGCTGAACGGAATCATCGCCGGCATCGACGAGGAGGGTCTCGTGTCGGCCCTGGACGAGACCAGGCACGGTCTCGAGGATGGCGACTACATCACCTTCTCCGAGATTGAGGGCATGGAGGCTCTCAACAATGCCGAGCCCCGCAAGATCACCGTCAAGGGCCCCTACACATTCTCCATCGGCGATGTCTCCGGCCTCGGCCAGTACAAGCGCGGTGGTCTGTACCAGCAGGTCAAGGTGCCCAAGATTCTCGAGTTCAAGAGCATGACTGCCTCTCTGAACGACCCCGAGCTCTTCATCTCCGACTTTGCCAAGTTCGACCGCCCCCAGCAGCTGCACTACGGTTTCCAGGCCCTCCACGCCTTCGCCGAGTCCCAGGGCCGTTTCCCCAACCCGATGGACGACCAGGACGCCGCCGTCATCCTCGGCTCTGCTCAGGCCTTTGCCAAGACCCAGGGCGTCGATGTCGAGTTTGATGAGAAGCTTCTCAAGGAGCTCAGCTACCAGGCCAGGGGTGACCTGAACCCCATGGCGGCCTTCTTCGGCGGCATCGTCGCACAGGAGGTCCTCAAGGCCATCTCGGGCAAGTTCACTCCCATTAAGCAGTGGCTCTACTTCGACTCGCTCGAGTCCCTGCCCACTTCTACCGCTCGCTCCGTCGAGCTGTGCAAGCCTCTTGGTTCCAGGTACGATGGACAGATCGTCGTCTTCGGCCGCGAGTACCAGGAGAAGATCTCGAACATCAAGCAGTTCCTTGTTGGCGCCGGCGCCATTGGATGCGAGATGCTCAAGAACTGGGCTATGATTGGCCTCGGAACCGGTCCCCAGGGCGAGATCATCGTCACCGACATGGATTCCATTGAGAGGAGCAACCTGAACCGCCAGTTCCTCTTCCGCGCTCCCGATGTCGGCAAGATGAAGAGCGATTGCGCCGCTGCCGCTGTCCAAGCGATGAACCCGGATCTTGTGGGACATATCAAGTCCCTCAAGGACCGCGTCAGCCCAGACACGGAGGAGCTGTTCAATGAGCAGTTCTGGAACCGCCTCGATGGCGTGACCAACGCTCTGGACAACGTGGAGGCCCGCACCTACGTTGACCGCCGCTGCGTCTTCTTCCGCAAGTCTCTCCTCGAGAGTGGTACGCTCGGTACCAAGGGCAACACCCAGGTTGTTCTCCCCCACCTGACCGAGTCTTACTCGTCGTCTCAGGACCCCCCGGAGAAGGAGTTCCCCATGTGCACCGTCCG